GTGAAGAATTAATTTGTAAGTATGGTGACATCTTTGTTCAAGAGGTTCATCAGTCATGTAGGATTCACAGTTAGTAGAAATTCGTCAATCAATGACTTGTTTTGAAAGGTAGAAATCCTCTCTTTTGATCTGAAAAGTTACGATAACCATAAAATGAGACCTACATTTTATCACCTGGAGGAGATATGAAGTTATGTTTATTCGTATTGAAAAAAAATTATGTGATGGAATAATGTAGATTGATAAGATACATCAAAGCATTTATCGGTAAAATTGAGTTTTTTTGTTACAAATGGATTGTAAGATGTTGTCATATAGTCACTGTATTGATTGACATTGCAATTTAGATAAAGATTTGACAAGTTGATGATAAAGAGTTTGGGAAAACATGATATAAGAATTCTATCACAGCCACTGGCCCCCAGTCTTTCTTGTGGTTTATTGATAAGACTTCAATCTATGTCCACATCCATTGCCACAGGGTAGATAACGCTGACGGATCTGCACAAACTGTAACCCTTGTTTCTGGATCATTCAATATGGTGGGGTGAGATATGGAGAAATCTCCATAAAGGTGGCTACTACAGGCCATATGTACACCTGACACTAACCCGCGCACTGACAAGATTAGAAGCCCGCTGTCAAGTTTTAAAATCAGTGTCGGCTCCATGTGACGGAGAGAAATTGCTGAGACAGGCAAATGCCGGCGGGGGTTGATGACTAGTGCTCGGTGGAGCTGGAGCGGAAAGTTGGAGCTGTGCAGCCCTGCCTCCAGGTCACTGATCCACGGAAAATTACAGCATTAGTGCACTTGCATATCATATTGATCGTACCCGGTCATCTTTGCTTACATTATTGATAGAGTTCCTGGGCGGATCATAATTTCGGCCGTTCCCAACATTGAAGGATGTGGTGCTGGGGGCCAGGAGTCAGAGGTGCCGCTCTTGTGACATGCATTGATGAAGGCGTGATGCATGGACCAGACAGATTTCGCATCAGCAATAATTCCTGTGCCCACATCAGAAGGGCAAAGTTTTGATGGAACAGTTCAGCTTATTCCTGCCCGATGCGATTTGTTATCAGACACTGCACCCTGCGCCATGCAAACTTATTATCCGCATGCCTTCTTAACAATTCAAAACAGTTTTTGGCACATTTTTTTTTTTATTTCGTGCCTTTTTGTATCAGTGGTGGGATGCATAACTTTGCTTCGGTATGAAATTTGTAATCTAGAATTCATCATCCTTTCCAACAAGGACGAAGGGTCTTCATCATGATTGCCATTTCGCCCTCCCCTGTCAAGAAGAAAATTGAAAAACAGATTTCTGTGGTTGTGTGCTGATGACTAAGGGCACAAGAGCAGTATATTTGGCAGTTGTGCATAGAGTGAATATCAAATATTTTTATATTCATAAGATGATCATATTCAACCAAGGTCATACAATTTCAAGTGATACCCCCACAGCTTAATTATAGTTATGGATGACATGGTTATGATGCTGTATGACTAGCATTTAAAGGAATATCTTCATCTATATGAAAATTATGTGAAATGGTAATTTTGGTAGAAACATCAATATATCCGTGCCTAGCTTGATTCAACATAAGCCACCTGCCGGTGTATGTGAGAATTCAATACTCCTGATGAAAAGGAACTTGCTGCTTCAGTGCCTGTGAAGAAAATTCGGGTCCATCTGTGGTGCAAGAAAGCATATTGATTGAAGCCATCACTGTGTCCACAGTTACACCTCTGTGCTTTGACCGTAATTACTCCATCTTTTCAGTGATGCACACAGGAGTCTACTCTATCCTCCAACACCTCCGGGGTGGGGGATACTCAAGGAGAAGTAATGATTCTGTGTACATTAATCCCGGTGCTATTGATCAATCCTGGTGAGCAACAGCCACTAAATCCGTTAATGTATTAGTCTGTAAGCTGGGGGCCTAATCTTATCATCCTTTCATTGGAAATCCTTCTAGCGGGGAGATTGATGGCGGAAGTTTCTGCTGCACTGCACGCCAGTGAGTAGCTCCCTGTTTAACGAGCGTGCTCCCTGACATGCAAGTGCAGGAGTTCATGGCTAAAAGCCTTGGCAGCGTGATGTAAGGGTGATACGAGATGCCCCGTGATGAGAATGTCGTTACCAGCGGTAACCTTTACCGATTGGCTGCTGCAGGGGATGAGCCATTGGCGTGGAACGTGCAGGATTAAAGTACATGCTAGTATCGACCGCTCCCTCGCAGCTTCTTTCAGAAGTCGAAAAGGTTGCAGACGTCATTAACTCTTGCTTCATCGATCACAAGACCAACTCAAAAGGATTCACTCCAGCAAATTATTACCGGTCGCCAAAATAACAACTCGAACAGGAATTGAGTGGCCGTTAACACATATCGAGACGGATAAATGGTTGTTATCTTGTTATGCTATATCAAGCCACTAATCCCAAGTCTCAGGAAGATGCTTCGAAGCATTCTTAGTGGGAGCAAAGAGTACTTTGCATCCCTGACTAGACTAAAAAGCAGCCCTTAAACTGTCCTAATTCCAGTTGCTGCTCAGCTTCACTGCCTCTATGGGAAATGTTAAAACTCTCTCTGACTAGTAAATTTTCTCGAAATGCCACTGCCTCAAACGTAAGTATCATCCTCAGATCCCCCTAGTTTTTTCATTGCGAAATGAACCGACAGTAATGTGTGCCTTTCTTGGTGTTAGCCAGTTAGCCAAGCATGAACTCATCACATAACCATTTTTCACCTCCTTTGGCAAGCTCAGCAGTTCCCATCCCCAGTGCAGGTGATTTATATTAATAATGGGTTTTGTGCAGATAATGACATATTATGTATGAAGATCAGAGTCATCGTATTAGAGGCAGAATGCATTTGGGGCTTTGCGGGGCACTAGGGAGATAAATGTACATTTATTCTGGGGCATATGGGGCCTTGGGGGATACAGAAGCCATTGGATTATTTCTCCAGTGTACATACAATCTTCATCAGGCATTTGCTGTTGGTGGCTATTACCGATATTACCCAGGACTAACCGCAAGATTGCAATCAATAGTAATTAGCCCGGAAGGGTAACAGTTGGAAGTCAGGGTGTTTCTTCAGATGGAAACGTATGCGAAATCAGGAAAAAATCATGACGCAGAAAAAAAAACAAGCATGGATATTGCATTAAATATGGGTTATCAAAGCGTACGTGTCGTCCGAGCATGTAATATATTCCACACAATATTCCTGTATGGAATAACACAAGGCTCGGCACACTGCCATGGTAAGTATAGATGTCAACCCAAAACAATTGATGGATCATGCTGTGTACTGTAAGCCTTTTTGTGTTTATAGTGCTGCATCAAAATGCATGCAGGATCAACTTGAGAGCCCAACTAAGTTACATGATATGTTTGCCTGGTATGGAGTCTTACCAGAGAGATTTTGTACGCCACTCAAATTAGAAAATATGGCAACTGGAGATCCAGCACCAACAATATGGAGCAAAAATGAGAAAGCGCATCCACTCATATTATCAGTCTGTATTTCGTATTAATATTCCGATCGAGATTCCAGATAATTGCTCTAGGCAATCTTGTACCAGTGGTAAATGGTGAAAGGAGGAGTCAACATGCCCCCATGGAGACAACAAAAGATTCCCATCATTTGTAGGATAAGGAGCTGGAGATGCCTAAATAAGAAATTGTGTTGTCCTTGTTGGCTTTTATCTACTGAAAATGTGTGTGGTAAGAACAATATAATGTAGAAATTGTTGTCGAAATTGCCATCAGGATAAATGTTGTGTATGAATAATTCATGCGAGCTATCCAGAAGAAATGAAATTAGATATTGATTACTGTGTTCAAACATTTATATTCTCTTTGTAAGCAGACACAGTCCGATTGCGCCGCCCATTAAGCCGTCTAAGTTGTGAACTCAAGCGTGCTTATCAGTTTTTCCAGCAAAGCAATTGAAAGTGACGTTGAAAGCATTCCTCTGGTTTTGAACTGCACGGAATCGGAACATTTCCTCCGCCGCTAGTACGGATCCCGCTTCGGGACGGTTCCGTGTTTTGTGTGCACCCGCCCGGTAATGTAAACATCTGCCATTGGCACGAAGTCCCTGCCCCACGTGGTACGGGTAATTATTTTAATTGTATTGGACGAAGTAAACCAATGACTAATGAGGGCTGCCGCTCCACAGGGTAAACTGTGTCCCTGGATGAAAATGTAAACACGGTTGTGGCCAATCAATGGCCCGCACGAAACTCCGGACAGGCGGGAACCCATATTTTCGCAACTCATTATTGTGATTACTATGCAATTTACGTTTTCGGGAGCGGAACTAATGAGATGCAAAATACTGTTTATTCACAACAGCGTGTCAATTACCTTTGTCCTTTTGATGACGATAATCAAGCTCAGCGTCCCAGTATGCACATGTTTCTTTGCAAAACACCCGATAAACAGGACTAGTTTAATCTTCTTGCCAGAAACCTGGGTGTCGTGAAGCATTAGTGTGTATGAAATAGGTGTGTTTCACATTAACCTCGAACCGCCTAGAGAAATTCACCATCTTGAATGAGTCTGGCTGCCTGGCACAGATGCGAAAAAAGCAACCGCTTTCTTCATCACAAGCCCCTGCTCACGACATTCGCCGGCTTTTCATTTAGCAAAACATCTTTCTGAAATTTTGTGGCAACAAACAGGACGATTGGCTGAAAGCCAGTAATAACAGATTGCTGCGTATCTGCATGACATTCAGAAGTAATTACGCGGCGCAGCGCTGTGGGGGTGGGCGTTACCCCGAAGCCTATGTCAACAGCGCCGTACCACCGCGCTTTGATTGACATCTCTGTGTGGTAGTGGAACGGTAGCAGATTCTGCCCGTTGATTGGTCAGCTACGTCGGGGAAGTGGTAATACCACGTGGGCTTGGAATTTCTCAAGTACTGATTGGTTAACTGTGATTGGAATCTTTGATGGAGCCAATCATTGACAGTCTTGAAAGGCAGAGTATTTGCCCCCTATTGTAGCTCGGCGTTACCGCGTGTGGAAAGTGTTCTGTGTGTGGCATTTGCACATCGCGAAGCGAGACCGTGCACCAAATTATCATTTCTGCGGCATTCTTGCTCCCGCCCGGAACCCGATTTCTTGCCGGTTTATGGGCGATCGTGCCCCCTGTCAGAGGTTTTGAGCTGCCGGCACCGAAGGATCGCTGTTGGAGTGGGGAATCGGACTGTGAAACGAGCTAGCGGCGGAGTTCTTGTGTCCGGATCCGCACTTTGGCGCCGGGCGCCATTGGCTGAGTTGTACCGAGCGCGCTTGGCTGAAAGTCGGCCGCTTTCCGACGGATTTATCCCCGTTCTCCACCGTGTTCAGTGATTCAGATTCCGACTGCGACGCCGGCGAGATGTATCCTCAAAACAGACATCCAGTAAGTTGCAGAAAACAATACAGGAGCCTTTGTTTGGGGGAAATGTTTCTATAGAAGTCTTCGGCAGTCAGATCCACGAAGTTTAGCCGCTGGGATGTGTTGGCACGCTTATATTTCCGTTCCTCTCTGTTTTCCTGCCCGCTAATTTGCGGCTTGTTCTCCCTACAGGCGCCTCCCCACCAGCCGGGACAGCCCTTCAAGTTCACTATCCCCGAGTCCTGCGACAGGATCAAAGAGGAATTCAGCTTCCTGCAGGCGCAATATCACAGGTAGGCCACGCCGACAGCGGTCCGCTGAACCCAGGCGACGTTGATACTCCACCCGCCCGCTGGCTGGGTTACTGTGTCTCGCGACCGTGATTTCTATTATCCCACCCTGCTTGTGAGAGTGGCATTCTAGTTGATATGTACACCGTTGCTTTATAAAGAACATCGCTGTCTAAGTACTGAAATATTTCTCTGACTTGATTACGTACCTATGAGGTCATCAAATCGTCGAACACGTCGTAAAGGAAAGGGTCACGAAAATAATTCTTTGTTCGGCGGATTTTATTGTTGTCTTTGTGGTAATTTACATGTTGTAGCATTTCCAGTTGGCGCGGAGAAACAGCTAGCAAATGTAACTATTTTAGTCAGAGGTGATCGGGTCTCGAGCTAACAAGACAACGCCATATGAAAACTATCGCTTGTTTGGGGGATGGAAACAAAGCCAGCCAGCCATTTTATATGCAAATAAACCCGCTTGGGGTTGTTGATCTGCTTAGCAAATAAAGATCATTGAATGGTCCAGTACACATAGACCTAAGGACCTTTTTGCACACCTTTGTTGATTAAACCGAGGATATTTTGAAAATGTCCACATGTGGCGCAGTGTTAAATCTAGGGAATCATTGAACCAGAACTGTGTTAGGCCTTCATTATTGTCATGGAAGATTTGGCAGGCTTGCTTTGCTTTTTTGTGTGGAGGGTCTTTCCTCCCCCATTCCTGATTCCTCACCAACAGCAACATCATCCTTTCTATCCCACAGCCTGAAGATGGAGTATGAAAAGCTGGCAGCAGAGAAGACAGAACTCCAGCGCCATTATGTCATGGTGAATAGCTTCCTCTCATCTGTTACTTGGGGCTTCCTGGGGTGGGATGACAGGGTTAGAATGGGTGGTTGGTTTCCCAGCGCAAAAGGTCATCCGCTGCTGCTTAGATGGTCATCACTCAGCTCCATGGAGCAAGCAAAATTGGACGCATGATGTTTTCGGCCATCTCCCGGCGCGGTCGTATAACCGGCTAGGTGCAGTCCGAACACTTTTCGTTGCTCCTCATCTGGTGGTTTAAGATTGAGATGTGTACCAACTAGACCTGGGTAGTGGGTGGATATGTATGCATGGCATGTCAGGTGGCGGCTAGCCCTGAATGCAGGATTATTTTGCCCAACAGAGGAGACTCATTAGTAGAGGCCTAAGCTGTCCAGCCATGGCTCAGCCACACACCCATTGAATTAATGGTACCGAGACAGTGGTACAGTTTGCTACCTTGACAGGGACACATGTTAGTGCATGTATTTGTTAAGGCTTATGTTATTCTGCTATCTAAGTCATGTAGTCGGGCACTTCTGTTCTGAAATCGGGCAAGAACATGCAAGTTTATTTTCCCTGATGTCAACATGTTGAGGAAATCAGAAAATGTTCCAGACATGCTGATTTGCATGTGTCTCCCCTTGGAAGGAGTTAGCATCTGACATTTCGATTCTCTCAGCACCCCCTGTCTAATGAATACCATGCCTGGTGTGCTCCTGTGAGGCCAGCCCTTGATTAACTTATGCCTGCTGTACCACACCATAGGTGATAAAAATTCATGATGCTCAGCTTTTAAACTAACAAGATCATTTTTTCCATTCTTTTCGCAGTATTACGAGATGTCGTACGGACTGAACGTAGAAATGCACAAGCAGGTAAGTTGTTCAGTATTTCGAATTCTATCCCAGTTATAACAGTTAAACTCTTTAGGGACCGACACATCTGCCTTTTACAGGTCAAAGGTCAAGGAAACAGTTCTTAATTCTTTCTGGCATAAAACTCCCCACAGGTAGTGTCCCTGTGGGTTAGAAATGCAACTGAATTATTTATTTCTGGGGTATGGCTGGGTCCCCATAGGATGGTTATGCCTAATAGCATCTATTATGTATACACACTTCCATTTTTCTATGGTAATGAGCAGTCAGGGTGCCACACTGGGATGTGTAATAACAGTGATGGGGGATTGAATGCAAAGGTAGTAATTAGCTACTGCTGCGGCATATTTTCCGACTACTTGAGCGGTGGGCAACTTTGTCTTCCTATCCCCTTGGGTGATCATGAAAGGTAGCCATGTGCATCGAATATTCATAATTCATATCATCTCGCTCTGAATGAGCTTTGTGTGTGAGCATATAATTTTAGCCCCAGGGGCCTGATTTCGGTGTTTATTTCCCATTTCGGGAACATGGTTCATTTTATAAGGCCTTGTTTTGTTGTCATGCTACCTCAAAGGCGGGCGGATAAGCACGGCTTAATCTGGCACGCATTAGTGATTTGCCACTGTGTCCTCAGGCGAGATATGTTTGTAATTTCTGAACTTTTTAGCTTCCCCCCTTCCTGGGAAATGGTTGACAGCCTGAAGTAATTATATTGCACCCCAAATGATGAAAACCTCAGGGTGCTCCATATCAACCCCCATCAGGGGTCACTGCCTGTCTTCAAAGGTCCAGTGCTAAATTGCCAGTTTGTCTGGCGGACTAATGCACAACACATTTCTGTAGCTGATGGCTGAAAATGTTCCAAATAAGGTACATTTCCCCCTTACCATCTGTCATTTCCCTTTCTGGGACTCGCAGATAAACAGACCTAGGAAAAAAGGCTTCTTCCGACCTTTCCTTTACGGCGTGATGTGAGGATGCTGCCCCGCGCAGTCGGGAAAGGTCACCGCTTTTACTTTGAGTTTCCTGACCCGATCAGAAGCAGGCTATGAGAATCAGTCCATGCTATGTTCAGTCTTGTGAGAATGGGATGCTTGCTGGCTAGAGTACACATACACTCAGCCCTCACGGGTGTGTTTCTAGTATCCAGTTGCCTAGGGAGGTGATGTATCTTCATTTCAGCCCTTTGTCTGACTCTCCCTGGTCCATTTACCTAGCTGTATTTGTGTTGTTCTGCCCAAGCTGCACTGAAACCAGTACATGTCACCAGTTGGCAGTGTTTTAGTAGCAGAAGCGCTGGGAAATCTTTTATTCTTGTGGGAGAGGTAGGCTATTATTACCACCATATGCGAGGTTCACCACAGGGCGGTAGTCTATTGTTGTTATCAGATAAATTTATGGAAAAGAATGGCTCTATATGCTCAAATCAGAGCCTGGTTTTCTGTGATCCTTAGCAGTCGCAAAAGAGTGTAATCTCCATTTTTTTTTCTTTCAAGAAGGATGTATTTTTCCAAAATAGTATACAACTGAAATTAGGAGCTTCCTGGACTTAGTGTCAGGTAGCACATGTTTTCACTGATTATACCAACAGCGCATGTATGGACCAGCCCCTTCTTTTCTACCTTCCATTGTGGCCAAATCTCCTGTCAGACCTTTACAAGGATGTTTGTTCAGTAAATATTATTCCTGTGCCTCCTAGGAGTCTTGGGTTTGTGTACTCAGTCAGAGCTAACTGTTCGGTAGGTCTGTCCTCATCTCCATCGGACTGATGGCTGTGTTTGCACGGCTCAGGCACCCTTGGTATTCTTCATGTACCTTTAGCAAGGCAAGGACGGCCTTGCTCCATCAACAGTTTGCCAAACCATCAACTACTTGGGTTAGCATTTGACTGCCAAAAGTATCGTTTAGTTGAGAAGTGTTTAGAAAGCCTCTGCTCAACAAAAGCGCCAATTATCCGGTGTGTGTGAAAGGGGGACTGAAGGGCTCTACTTGAGCTGCCAACAACAGGAGCAAACAGCTTTCACGCCAGGATGGGGCACTGCACCTCACTGTGCAAACAAAAGCTGTGCCCACATCCACTCCACAACCAGGCTGCTGCATCCAAACGGGCAGTTTCAGAACACGGGAAACATTTTTCAACGATGTTTGCGGGGAAAGAGTCGGACTGGTATAGCTTAATCTCTGGGCCCGTGATGTAATCAGGGTTCTGGACAGATGGGATGCGTCAGTGAATGCGTGTGTTCTTCGATCAAACACTCAGACCTTCGTGTAAACACTGACTGCACTTGAAGTGCAGACCAAGGCCTATCGGCTGCACTGGCAGCTGGGAAGTAGTGTTTGTAGGCAGTCACAGTGCAATCACTAGAACCATGACGGCCCATTAAGAAGAAAGGGACTTAGAAGGGATCGCTCTGCGGGTGCGGGTGTTTTGTGAGCAGTGACAGATCGGGCAAGAAAAAGGAGGCCTGCCTGATTAGGCCACACAGGGGCACTGTAAACCTATAGTTTAACAAGTATTGGTAACAAGGGTGCGGACACATTACCTATTGATAGAGCCTTTCCAGAGGGCAGGTTGAGAAAGGGGATGCCCGAACATGATGCACCCTCTAAGGTTTCCCGGGGGCCACTCAGCTCTCGACTGGCTCAGCGCTTATACTCCTGCTATTGGAGGGCCAACAAGCCGCACGCTCTCTCTTCTATTCCTGTATTCTATGATAATCATACGTGGAGTGGAACCCTTTCATTCATGTAGGACCTCCGACTAGAACATTCAACAGCACTTGTGGCGGTGTCAGGGTGATGTTTATCTTTACCGGGAAATGGCAGCCTTTCAGAGGGTTCATAATGGTCCTTATCATCCACATTTATAGACTGCGTATCCTCCTTACACAGAAGTGGGTCCTGAAGTTTGAAGGTTAAGATTTGAAGGACTTGCCACAGGGAAAACTTCAGCAAGAAGCTGGTACGGCTGAGTACTTTATCCTGGTTAAACTAAAGTTCCTGTGTTTTCTCTGTTTTGCAAACAAGGGAGAGAATTTGTATAATGGCCCTGTCTAGGATGCCGACTCACTCAGTCAACAAATACAGCCTTTTCTGAATATTCTGAAATACAGACACAGTGAGTGTTGTCTCTTAGTTATAGATTTGTGTAGCTATTGACTACGGAAATTATCACAGTGTGAAAAATTTTGTGGAAAAGTGGGAAAGACAAGACATTGAGTTTACTTGGTTTAGTACGTGGGAGGAGTAAGTCAACTGGAGTCAAGGGGATGGTTTCAAGTCAGGTATTTCTTAATGCAGTGTTCAGCAGACACGCAGGCATCTGCACCATTGAAAAGATGATAGAGGACTTGTCCCCTGGCTAGGCAAGCAGAAAATTCATCAGACACACCCCTACCAGGTTTGTTCCCACCAGTGGGAGCCATGATTGATTTTACCCACAATGCTTCTGGTCACCCTGTGGTTTGGGATCAGGTGGCAACGAGTTGAGGCCAAACAGGATATCCTTTGTGCCTGTGTTTCCTTATTTGCATGGCCCGATCTAGAGGAAGCTGGAGGAAAAAGCGTGGTATGTTTTGTATACACACACCACATAATCTATGTGCACCACGGGTGGGCGTGTTCTAAGGAAGAATTTTTTTACCCGCTTGTAAGATCATAGCCTGCGCATGACATCATCCTATTATGTGGGTAATGGGTCATGTTTGAAGCAGGTGTTAGTGATCAAAGAAAATGCCAGACAGGAAGACCCTCTTTTCTCTTTGGTCTTCAGTATTGTCATGCAATATTGAATTTTTCCTGTGGGAGCATGATTCAGATTACCCATAATGCATTGCTACAAAAGAATTCAAGAAAATGATTTTTTTCTTTGGAAATTTTTTTCCTAAGAAATTGTAGTTCTTAACATTTTCTTGGTTAATTAATACAAATGGCAAATTCCAGTTGCCCAAAAATTCAAGTTATTTGAAAGATTTTTCGAAAATGGATTTTCAGGCCGGTGTCTCCAAAGGTAGATTAAAGCATTAGATAGCATGTTGATCCGGGTGACCTTCCTGTCTTGTTAGACATTGCTATCAGACAATAGGTAGGCAGCCCTCAATAACATGACACAACCTATGGATCTGTGCCTAATGCCATCGATCGCAGGAGCCCATCTGGATAATAGCAGATCAATGGTTCCTCTAGAATGTATCAACAAAGCAAAATGGAGAACCTATCCTACATTTAATCACATCAGGCCCCCACTCGCAGTTTCCCATTTAGTACAAATCTGCAAATGGTGCAGATAATCTGGAGGTCCCTTTTATTGAATACAAAAGTGCTATTTTTGTTGAGCTGATTTCCCCGCGGAGCAATTGCCATTTTTCGTCATGTGCCTGAGGGTCTCCAATGGCCTGTGAATCAAATTGGTTCGCCATCAATACCAAAAGAGCCATTTTGCCTTTTCTGTCTTCTCCCCCGGGGCGGCCGTCCCTGGCATAATAACAGGTCTTACACAAAATAATAAGCTTGTTCATTATATTGCTAATGTAGTTCACCTCCCACATATACATCTGTATAGACAACGTGATATAATGGCGGGAGGGGGGGCAGCTGCCAGATGCCCTTGAGTTGAGTTGTGATGTTGCAAGTGTGAAAAAGAAAGATGTTAGACATAATGAAGATGTTGTGTATTTCTTTTTTTTCTTAAAAAAATTGAATCCTACTTGAAGTTGTGCATCCTCGGCCACATCAAAACTATTAGAAGTTTTGACGAGACAAAAGTCCAGTTAATTGATGCGTCTCGCAGACAACTGGTAAAAATTTTTGACCTCAACATAGCAGTGGAGAAGTCAATTTTATATCATTCAATATTAACCACTCCAAATTTCAGATGTTATCGGCCCGTGGAGACCTGGCAAGACATCGACCATCCTATTTTGGAAATAGTAAAATTTTTGACAGGCACATGTTTAATGGATATTTAGTATAGCCTGGGGCCCCGGGTAGACATTATCAAGATAGATCGCTGTCCCAAGGCAATATCCTAATTTCTCATGAATACAATTTCGCAGGCATGATGAACAAATCTTTTGCATTCAATCTCACCAAATTCCCCAGACAAGGTCCGTGACTTGTCAAGGGCGCCGATAATTCCGCTGGCTTGACTTGGCCTTTCGCTCCACTCTTCACGAGTCAATTGATTTTAGGATGCACTCTAATCAGAAAAGCTGGTCAAAGCCAGCTGAGTATGGTTCGAGGGAAAAGTTGGGAAGATTTCTCATTCGTGCATGACTTGTTCAGTAATGGACATCACCGTGCTCTGGACCACTCTCTCTCTCACCCTGCTAGAAATCAAGGCGTTTCTATCTGTCTCGCTAAATTGCCTTCTCTTGTCAGAGAGATAACTTTTAATATTTAGTTTTCCGCCGCGGTTGGCCGAGCTGATGCACATCCAACAGTCCAAATGTCAGATCCAGTTGGTACTTGAATTAGTATGTAATGACAATCCCTGTGGTTTTGTTTCTCCTGGAGTTATCAAATCGTTACGGCCGAGAACACAGCATAACTACATATTCTTTGATGATAACTTTTGCAGAAAAGTATGATCAAAATTGATGATTTCATTTTCTTTGATTTATCTCTGCCTGAGAAGTAAAGTATACCTCACACAAATTATATTTTCTTGCAGTCAGGGCCGCACTAATCATTATTGCACATCAGCATGGTACAGCTTGCCCCCATCCTAATAGAAGTTCATTGGACTGTGTCGGACTATATATTTTTCATGCTGGATTTACGCAAAAGGCCATTTCACGGCTGCGAATCCTGTTGAAAACCCCCGATAAATATTCAACAAGCCGGATGAGGAGTAGATTCATCGTGGGCACCCAGCTGTGTAGGAGAGACGCGGATCGTTGCGGCGATGACTGTTAGACCATGAACGACTGCTGTCGCTAACTAATGACTCTCTCTTCCCATGTTTCCTTGCTGCAGACGGAGATTGCCAAGCGGTTAAATGCCATCTGTGCCCAGGTCATTCCCTTCTTATCCCAGGAGGTAAGTAGCTTATCCAACGGAAAGGCCACCATTTTTTGCGTTCTTGGTGGGGGTGACCCAGGTTTAAGTGGTGTCATTCAACTTGGATTACTTCTATAAAAGGCTGTTGGAGACTATGCAATCGCTGTTATAACTTGGAGTGAACTCAAACCGCTGAAGTGTGCAGGGGATGGGAATTACACTGCTCTCAAGCAGGAGACTGCTTTAGACAAGTTCTCTCAGGCCCACCCCTCCACATGCAACAATTTTCGAAATTAAAGGCAAGCCTGGCGAGAAGTAGGATTGGAGTAAGGTGTAAGTGTGCAATACTCTGGTTCTCGTGAATTTAAGTGTCCAGCGCCGAAGGATTCACTTCACATGTGGAGAACTCTTCTAGTGCCGTCGATGGCACTTCATGATGCAGATTTCAGTGCTTGAATTGCCCTGTCGTACTCTAGCTTGAACGTTTTTTTCCCTCCGTTTCTGCCTTCCCCACAGCATCAGCAGCAGGTGGCCACGGCAGTGGAAAGAGCAAAGCAAGTCACGATGACTGAACTGAACGCCATCATAGGGGTAAGACCAAAATGCTGCCGCCAACACGGTGCAGTCCTTTTTTTACATAACGCTCTTCGGCAACAAGCACTGAAAATTTGAACGAACCATGATTTTACACCTCTTTGCAAATTACAGGCGGATCACGAGTGGGTTCTCCTGGATAGATCCTTGCTTTGATGCCTGAGTGATGATACCAGATGTGTGATTTTCATAAGATCATCCTGCCTCATTAATGAATTTCTGTTGCACTTTCATGTCAATGTGTATTGATGAATATGTAATTGTTATGATTCACACCACGCTTACGTGGTGAGTGCCACGTATGATCGACAAAACCCAAACTTCAGGAGGAAATTTATGTAGAAAGTTTGTGCAGTTCGTGCTGTAGTGTGATGTGTGATTCTGTATGACTAAAACTGGACATCATGTCAGAATGCAAAAAAGAGTGCTTTTGTTTCTGAAAGCATGACAAGTGATAACACAGTGAAGGTCCTGTTCTGATGTCATGTCATGTACTTCCTTGGGGTGGCATTTGTGACTTCCTAACTTCTATAGCCTGTCTTACTAACATGGTTCCTTTTTTATCTGGTAGTGGAGCCACTAACACTAGAGGTCAAACAAAACTAGAGAGGTGACATGATGGTTGTACACAAAATTGCTAGCGAGTGCCTTAGCCCTCACTGAAGCCTTTATGTTAAAATGTGTGCTGTTACTCGTTGTCTTACTAGCGGACCTTGGATGCCAGATTCCTGGCATGGATTGACTCTGAGGTTGTTAAACATTACCCTTCTGTGTGCACATAACATCCTGGCACTTTGCTGTGAATTTTTCTTGGCTTCCTTGTGTTGAATGTGGATGTGGCTCCTCACACCTCCTGGTGAAAAGAGTTTTTCTCATTTGTTCTGTCCCCCACAGAAGCAGGCAGGATTCCCGCATTTTCTGGTTAGTACCACACTTTTACTGGTTTGTGACTGTGCTGGAACCTTGCCTAAGTTTGACCAATACACCATTTTTTTTTCTTCTGGCTTGTATATTTTTTTTTGTTGAGAAATCGGCTTGCAAAAGTCAACATTTCTCTCTGTTGTGTCCAAACCAGTAAAAGTGGCAACATTAGGCGAGGTTCCATTCTACCCAGCAACAACACTAGCTCCCGCATGCGCTGTGTGTCGTGCAGAATAAGTTGGTGTTCCTAGGTTGCTTTCCTAATGACGCGGGATTGCCTGCAGCCTGCCTGGCCCCCCCTATCTCTGTAAAAGCCTGCCCCCCTCCCCCCTGCCATAGGTATTGTGATGTCTGTGCCGTGTGAGGTGATGTGACTTGTCCATATGTGTAGGGCTTAATCACCCTTATTTGCTAATGACCACTCTAATGGTGCTTATTTGTCGACAACAACAGCAACAGCAGCTCCAAGCGCAGCACCTCCACCAGCCACATGCCCCACCGGTCCCCATCGCCCCCCCACCCGCCGGCCTGCAGCCCCCAGGACTCCCACAGGGTAGCGGCTCTGGGCTCCTGGCACTCTCCAACGCACTCGGGTCAGCCCCCCACCCCCTGAAGGACGAGAAGCGTGTAGTATCGTGTCATTTCTGTGTTACAGTTATTTATTTTTAACATTAGTGTTAAGTGCTTGTGAAAAGAATTATTTATGTTTCTCTGTTTGTATACATAGTGATGTGTTGACAAGCGATGGTCAGATGTTAAAAGATTAGCATACATTCTGACCTGGACAGTTGTGGTAAAAGTAATTTGTTGTGCAGCAGAGACCACACTGTTGATCTAAGTGCATTGATAGATGATGTGTATTACAGTAGATCTAAATAAACAAAAGATAATCAGGTTAACTGCGATGTTTGATTTGTTTGAGATGTAAGGATTCGAGACAGCCACTAATATATTTTCCCTCGCATTTTCCTTCTCTGTTGGCCTGGACATTTGTGATCAACACACCAACTGCCGTCCACCTTCCTATCCCATGATGCATCACTGCAGCAGGAGAACCCTCCAGACAGGTGAGTTGCCTGACATTTTAATACACGTCCCCGAGGCATCGACAAAAAACCCAGAGATTAATATTTATTTTTCACCGCATCAGGAGCATATTCATCCTCTTATTACCAGCCGGGTCCCCCGGGGGAGCCAGGGTGTAATAACTGTGATCCCGCCATCTATCATGGATGCATAATTTGGGCGAATTTCCACGCACGGTGCGTCTGCTAATGGGTGATAATAACAGGAATTGATCATCGCACGATGGCATCACATGCAATATTGGAGTGAGCATGAAATGGAGGCCCGGCGTACGCACGGGCAGCGATGTAATGTCAGGGGGTGGAGATGACTTTACTCGCTCGTTGCGAGCGGACGGGGGCATCGGGTCATCGTTCTTATGCATTTTTCATCGACTCTAATGGGTCCAGCGGTGGGGTGAAGTGACAGATATGGGCAGGTACAATCAGCCATCACACATTGTTCCCCCAGGCGAGAAGGAAACGTCCACTCAACCCGACGTTCCACCCACCGAATCTCATTGTTCAGATGTTTAACATTCATCCACATAGACTACAAAAAATTCTGTAATATTGGGTTGGTCTAATTAACCGTATTCTGTCTACGGTACGCTGCCTTGTAATCACAATTTAGAATTCACAGCTCATATCAAATTCCTTGTTTGGCATCCTCCCCTGGAGATTACTCAATGACATTCTCGTCTAATTGTCTAACTTCCTGTCTGATATTTGCTATGTGGGCTATAGAAGGAATTGATTGAATTATTTACTATCATTGGAATTGGCATAACATGCTTATGGCTGGCACTGTAAAAGAGCTAATGCCGAGTTGAAAACATTAGCATTATGGTGAGCTCCGGAGTCTCTGAATCATCTCAACCCTAGCCCCTCCCCTCCCCAAAGTGTGGATGGATATCATTTGTGGAATGTTTAGAGTCTGTGTAATGCCAACCTAATCTGGGCTGCCAGCACCAGTTTATTTTCACAGATGTTCCCAACCAGTCTTAGCACTTTGGATTTGCATTTCTGTACACTTGGGACAAAGAGGATTTGCCACTGAAAAAAAAAGCTTTGCAACAGGCTCAAGTCACTGAACAAATATAAAACTCAGGCCTACATTTTTAATGAGGCAAGTCCTGATATAAGTGCCTTGTATGTTATAAAAAGCTGTAGACATTTGGAGCCAGATGTTGTCTTTTAACAGAAGCAATTAGGGCAAGCCTGTCAACAAGTAAAACATACTATGTGTATACGATATTTAGCAGATACATGTGGGGTGTACTTTTCTTTCTCCCCCTCACAGTTGCGTTTGTTTTCTCTGTCAATGTTGTCTGTCTATTGGAGGTCTGGTGTTGTCAAATATGTGTTCTGAGATTTGGTGTTTGTTTGTCGATGGCTGCCTCTCTGTCAGAAAGCGCTGCAGTTCCGAGTATGCTGGGTACACTGGAGGTTGCTGTTTGACTCATACTGTGAAATTTCGAGCTGCGGTGGAAAAATCACAGGCCCCACACAGTGGAGTGATGAGAAATTTGGCACATTCCGACCCGTATTTACCCTGGTCTCTGCAGCTTGCCCTGTGTATATACAGAACCAGCATTTGAGATGGAACACAAGCAAACATTATCAATCAACCCTGTTCAAATACTGCAACCTGTATTCACTGCCTTCTGTTTAATGGAAAAAACACAGAGCATTGTTTATGAGGCTATTAGGTACGAAGTACAAATTCCTTGGAACAAATTAAATCTTGCTGTACTGCCAATCAAATAAATGTACAGACAGCGAGTGTATAGAGAGAGATTTCCCAGATAGTTGTCTGTGAGTAAAGTGATAAAACAAGCCGTTACAAGCCGTAGCAGAAGAAATCTTCGATCCCCACAAATCTTAGTGCCAAAATGGCAAGCAGTCAGGCCTAGAGGTGTTACTACAAGACATTAACTTCAGGATTATGATAAGCCTCAACCAAGTGCTAATTTATTTATCCAAGTGGCCTGATTTGGAGGGGAAACGGCTTGCCAATAAATAATGACATATGCATGAGCAGGCCAAATTAACTCCTTGCTACTGATGGATTATTGTCTTATTGTAGGAAGAAAAAAAATGTGTGAAAGCCAAAGGTGTGGGAGGTGTTGTCAGGGCGGGGTATTTCTTGGTGATAAGTGATTGATTCAGACACCTCTGCCAGTTGTTTCCTTTCACCCAACTGTTTACATTTGAATAGGTTTATCAGGTTGTGTTGTTTGCTGGAGGGCAATAATGAAGCCCCCTGGGTCCTCGCTCAGTTGGGGATAATTAATCCGCAATACTGTCTCCTGCGGGAGAAAAGACTTGAAGAAAACAGGGAGGTCAAATTCAGGACTCGAGGGGTTGTTTGCTGATGGAAATCAGGCGTCAGATTTGCATGACACAGATTCGCCTTCCCCCAGATTGTCTACTTCTTTTTTTGTATGGGTGCCGAGATTGTTTGACAGTGAATAGGAGATAAAGTCAGGCTGGCTGTGGTGAACAGTGGCGGGCATTCAAGCATGCATGGCATCCCCTGGAATAATCCATTTGTGAATTCAGGGCTTCCTTTTGTGGAGAGGGTGGGCTCAGCTTGTTGACTGGGCTAATTCACCTGAAAATAGCCAGGTCCCTTTGTCTGACTGCTCACCACCGTCTAGGTGCCCCATCACTCTGTATAATTAAAAGGCCATTTCTCCTGATTACTCTACCCAATTGACACCCCCCCACCACCAGGGAAATCACGTAAGCAGGATGGACATCTGCTCACCTCTGTATCACCTGCAACCTCACTTTAATCCTCTTGAGCAGGTACAAACAGCTATGAAATGTTAATTTCTNAACCCGACGTTCCACCCACCGAATCTCATTGTTCAGATGTTTAACATTCATCCACATAGACTACAAAAAATTCTGTAATATTGGGTTGGTCTAATTAACCGTATTCTGTCTACGGTACGCTGCCTTGTAATCACAATTTAGAATTCACAGCTCATATCAAATTCCTTGTTTGGCATCCTCCCCTGGAGATTACTCAATGACATTCTCGTCTAATTGTCTAACTTCCTGTCTGATATTTGCTATGTGGGCTATAGAAGGAATTGATTGAATTATTTACTATCATTGGAATTGGCATAACATGCTTATGGCTGGCACTGTAAAAGAGCTAATGCCGAGTTGAAAACATTAGCATTATGGTGAGCTCCGGAGTCTCTGAATCATCTCAACCCTAGCCCCTCCCCTCCCCAAAGTGTGGATGGATATCATTTGTGGAATGTTTAGAGTCTGTGTAATGCCAACCTAATCTGGGCTGCCAGCACCAGTTTATTTTCACAGATGTTCCCAACCAGTCTTAGCACTTTGGATTTGCATTTCTGTACACTTGGGACAAAGAGGATTTGCCCACTGAAAAAAAAAGCTTTGCAACAGGCTCAAGTTATTGAACAAATATAAAACTCAGGCCTACATTTTTAATGAGGCAAGTCCTGATATAAGTGCCTTGTATGTTATAAAAAGCTGTAGACATTTGGAGCCAGATGTTGTCTTTTAACAGAAGCAATTAGGGCAAGCCTGTCAACAAGTAAAACATACTATGTGTATACGATATTTAGCAGATACATGTGGGGTGTACTTTTCTTTCTCCCCCTCACAGTTGCGTTTGTTTTCTCTGTCAATGTTGTCTGTCTATTGGAGGTCTGGTGTTGTCAAATATGTGTTCTGAGATTTGGTGTTTGTTTGTCGATGGCTGCCTCTCTGTCAGAAAGCGCTGCAGTTCCGAGTATGCTGGGTACACTGGAGGTTGCTGTTTGACTCATACTGTGAAATTTCGAGCTGCGGTGGAAAAATCACAGGCCCCGCGCAGTGGAGTGATGAGAAATTTGGCACATTCCGACCCGTATTTACCCTGGTCTCTGCAGCTTGCCCTGTGTATATACAGAACCAGCATTTGAGATGGAACACAAGCAAACATTATCAATCAACCTTGTTCAAATACTGCAACCTGTATTCACTGCCTTCTGTTTAATGGAAAAAAACACAGAGCATTGTTTATGAGGCTATTAGGTACGAAGTACAAATTCCTTGGAACAAATTAAATCTTGCTGTACTGCCAATCAAATAAATGTACAGACAGCGAGTGTATAGAGAGAGATTTCCCAGATAGTTGTCTGTGAGTAAGTGATAAAACAAGCCTTTACAAGCCATAGCAGAAGAAATCTTCGATCCCGCAAATCTTAGCGCCGAACGCCAAGCAGTCAGGCCTAGAGGTGTTACTACAAGACATTAACTTCAGGATTATGATAAGCCTCAACCAAGTGCTAATTTATTTATCCAAGTGGCCTGATTTGGAGGGAAACGGCTTGCCAATAAATAATGACATATGCATGAGCAGGCCAAATTAACTCCTTGCTAGTGATGGATTATTGTCTTATTGTAGGAAGAAAAAAAAAATGTGTGAAAGCCAAAGGTGTGGGAGGTGTTGTCAGGGCGGGGTATTTCTTGGTGATAAGTGATTGATTCAGACACCTCTGCCAGTTGTTTCCTTTCACCCAACTGTTTACATTTGAATAGGTTTATCAGGTTGTGTTGTTTGCTGGAGGGCAATAATGAAGCCCCCTGGGTCCTCGCTCAGTTGGGGATAATTAATCTGCAATACTGTCTCCTGCGGGAGAAAAGACTTGAAGAAAACAGGGAGGTCAAATTCAGGACTCGAGGGGTTGTTTGCTGATGGAAATCAGGCGTCAGATTTGCATGACACAGATTCGCCTTCCCCCAGATTGTCTACTTCTTTTTTTGTATGGGTGCCGAGATTGTTTGACAGTGAATAGGAGATAAAGTCAGGCTGGCTGGAGTGAACAGTGGCGGGCATTCAAGCATGCATGGCATCCCCTGGAATAATCCATTTGTGAATTCAGGGCTTCCTTTTGTGGAGAGGGTGGGCTCAGCTTGTTGACTGGGCTAATTCACCTGAAAATAGCCAGGTCCCTTTGTCTGACTGCTCACCACCGTCTAGGTGCCCCATCACTCTGTATAATTAAAAGGCCATTTCTCCTGATTACTCTACCCAATTGACACCCCCCCACCACCAGGGAAATCACGTAAGCAGGATGGACATCTGCTCACCTCTGTATCACCTGCAACCTCACTTTTAATCCTCTGGAGCAGGTACAAACAGCTATGAAATGTAAATCTTTTCTTCTTGATTCTACTGTGTAGGCGCTGTGTGTTGGCGGTATGATTATGCATGCACAAATCAATCACTGATGTCAGAGATTATTCAACCAAATGTTTCACGTCCGTAGCTTGATCGTAATAAATTGCTCAGCAGAAATCCGGTAGATTCGGAATCAATTCCAGTCACAAGCTGAAAGGAACGGCAGGAAGTAGATAGAGACACCGTAAGCCGCCGCACATCTCAAATGCAAATGTCGATCATGAGACCATCACGCTCCGCTAACAATTCCAGAGTAAGCAGGCAGAAAATGGGTGATGCAAATGCATCGGGGGTACGGGTGCACACTGGCTTTGTGCCTGCCAAATGTATCCCAATAGGCCCGGTACTACCCTATCCCCTGTATATATTTCCATGCGGTGTAAAATGTTGGCCTTTACCAGGGCTGCTTTGAGGCTCAGTCAGCCAGGTAATGACAGCATTAAGGTGCATTCATGCCTCTGATTGTGTTAGAAGTCGGGCAGGGTTATTTCCCTTAGTGCAATGTGTTGCAAGGCACTTTCTACCGCCAAGACCATGGCCGTTTGTGTGTGTGTTGAATTTCAATGAGGCCAGGTCTAAATATGCTGCTTTTAAATGGACAGTTTTACATTAAAAATCCTCCTCTCTTGTGGGTTGTGAGGTTGGCTATCTAAGTGTTGGTTAATGAAATGGAGGTGGTGACTTGTCAGTACGCGAAGACGGTTGTACCCAAAGTTGTCTGGATACGTGTCAAACCTTTTACAACACTCAGCCCAAAAGGATTCGGCCGGAAAAAAGCAACTTTTGTTTGGTTGCCCGGCAGAGGCATCTAAATTGAATCATGAATATACAGCAGAGCGGATTATGGAGGCCGTGTTACCCGGAGCCTCCAACCCATACTTGACTGATGAACTTGGAGTCAAAGAGCTAATTGTGTGGTGAGGACTCAGGGGAGGAGAGGCTGCCATTCATCTGTTTGTTGTCTGCGCTCATTAGCAAGCGTCCTGCCACAGCTGTCCCCACCTTGAATGAAAGCCCGGCCTTATCACCTGTTTACCGATCTGTCAGTGCCTTGTGTCCCAGAAATGCCTTTCTTTGCTTTTGTTGGCTCAGTTGGTTAGCTGGAACATTGTTGATGTAACGCTGCAAGTCTCTATGGATGCCTGGGTTTACCTTGCCATTTTATTTGTCTGAAAATTGAGCCCCCTCCATTCTACTGAGGAAAAATTAGTTTACTCAGGGATGTTTGCGCTGGTTATTCAGACCCGGGGAGTAAAAAAGCGCTGGTGTGTTGTGTTTGTTGATTGTATTTGACTAGCGCTGTGTTCTTTTAATTGCGGCCTCTTTCCGCTGAGCGGGAATTATTTCTGTTTGGATACCTTAGCCAAGGTGCGTGTACTCAAGGCTTCCTGAGGGTTTCTTTCATTTCGTGCCTTTGTGGATTCAGTATACAGCCTCTCTGTTGCAATTTTCTCAAGGATGGAAAGAGGCAAATGTTTGTGCTGGGTGGTATGTTTGCACAGGCTGACGCTGTGAGCACAGGGTGTAAAAACGAGATTGTTATTTTTGCTAGGTGTTTGCTGGTGATGGAGGCCCGCGGCCTTTGTTGGGAGAAGTGCCATGTGTGACCGCACGTTGTCACCCATTGTGGCGTTTTGCTGTAGGGTTTGCAGTGATACCCCAGCCATGGCATGAATGGCGTGCAACGTAGTCATTACCGCACGTCATTTCCGCTCCAAATAATGCCGTGTTTATACAGGGCACTCTTGTTGTGGTTGACTTTAAACAACTGTCATCCTCCATGCACCCCTTTTCTCTCCCTTGTTTTCCTAGGACACCCTAAAAGCCTTGTTAATTGCCATTCGAACCTGTCCAAACAGTCAAACTTGCAAAAGAGTTTTGTAATCCTTCCGTGTCTGATTACTGTGTACTCAGCGCAGAAACTCGATAGTGTCTGTATTGGTCCTTGCCTTGTGCAGTGGAAAATCAATCCACCCTCTAAACAGTACCATTGACTTGGGTGTTGTACGTTCCGCTTGATAAGCACACAGAAGGACCTGCGCCATGTAGACTGTACGATATGTCATCGAGCGGAGGGTATTACGTTTCACTTACAAGAGCTGTTGACCCCCCTGGTTCTGCACCCGTGCGTTGAGGCAATGCCGTGGGTATGTAAACCAGGGGCCAGCCTATTTCAGGCTTCGGTGGGCAAGAATAAAGCTCGGCACTTTCTAAATACCTGTCTCAATACCTCTGGATAGAGAACAAAGGGTGTAGAATTGCCTGCTGAAGGGTTCGCAAGCTGCTGCAAAGAGTCATCCTGTCCCCTCGATAGACTTAACTGATGCAGATGCTCCCCTCTGCTTGAATAAACTTGGCCCTAAGACCACCTGATGTTGCTAAGAAAAAAACATATCACACTTTTTTCAACAGTTCTAGTGCCGTTCTTGTAACATATGGCCAGGTGCTCGCTCAAGTATCAGAGGCTGGTTTTGCAGGCTAGCGTGGCCACCAACAAACATGTTAGCATTTCAAGGCGGTTTCCAATTAGCTCTTCCGGTTCCACACAAGACTGGCTCCCACCAGACCATGAACATAGCCAGTGAGCCAGTGGCAGGACACTGTAAACAAAGTCACAATGTCACGCCTGCTTCTCATTCTGCGCCTCAGACAGTATCAAAACACTACTGATTGCTATGCATCAAGTGCTCTCTTAGACACTCACACCCCCATTCTTCTTCACCCTTCCCAGAATTCCCTGTCTCCCAGCGACCGCGACCGTTCCGATCGTGAGAAGTTCCGCACACCAGATCATGTGAATGACCGTGACAAGAACGCCAGCAGCAGCAGCAGTAAGAGGAAAAGGGATGAGAAAGACTCTGGGGTGAGTAAAAATCACAAGAACACACGAAATCAAAAAGAAAAAGTTCTGGACACAACTTGAGGGCTGTTTGTGTATAAACTTTAATAAAGTTTGTTTTCTTGTTTGGACCTTAACATGAGCTGAAGGAAGCTAGACATTTGAGGATAACTAACAATCATTACCAAACATTGGGGAGACAAAGAAGTTTGTGCCTCAAAAGGAGAAACTCACTCACTCATCCTTGCGTGCTCGGGGGAGCATAGAACCTTGCCAAGAAGAAACCCAAGTGTCCAATACTGGCTTTGGATATGTTGTCTTCCTTACTTAGCCCGGATAATGCAATTTTCCCTCAGTGCATAACGTGATTATTGTCGTCCCAACCATTAGGACAGTGAAGGTGAGAAGAGTGACGACAACCTCGTTGTGGACGTGTCCAATGAGGACCCACCATCGCCACGCAACGACGACACCCACTCCCCTCGCGAAAATGGCTTGGATAAGTCACGTCCTCCAAAGAAGGAACGGCCAGAAAGCCCCAACAGTGTCGCCAGCAGTGGTAGCACACCTTCATCTCGGAAAGACAAGGAGGTACGTACAGGATCATTCATTTTTTTCCATGACAAAGTTAAAAATTTGACAGACAAACATCTCTTTCGCTCCATTCTCTTTTGTGTAGGTGCTTAAGTTGTTTTTGTTTTTTGTATGTGTTTCGTAACAGGTGGAGAAATCGACCACACCGGTGTCGAAGCCCTCCTCACCCACCCCAAGCGGCAGCGCCACGCCGGGGGCCTCCGGACACTCCGGCAAACCGATGGGCAAGGCTCCACCAATAGGTACAATTTGTAAGTGTGCCACTTCCTGTGAACTAGAAGTGCTCACCCCTAGCACATGTCAAATGGCATGACCCACTGTTTACTCCTAACCATCATTCAGACCTACTTCATGCTAGGTTTGCATGACGTGTTTGTGTGAAAATTTGTTTTTCATGGGAAGTGAAGCACTGTGGGACTGACGTGAAGTTCTTGGTGTGTATTTTCTGGAATTTTCCTCCTTGAGAAAAGACTATGGGAAAGAAAGATGTGTGACTAGCATCCCCAGAAGTGTACACCTCAGGGTAAAACCACCAGCCCATTTCAGGAATGCAGGGACTGTTAGTCTTGTGTGTCTAAGATGGGATCAGCCCAGCAGTGGCTGTATTTACCCACATGCATGGATTGACCAGCAGTATCCTTGGAATGTTTTGGCGACTCCACTGTTGGCGAACCAACAATGGAAGAAGAGACAACCAAACCCGTCCCCCACCATATCTGTACACAAAACAGACGGCTTTTGTCCCAGAAGCTCACCCTTTTGCCTTGTTTATTTTGCTAAGACTATTTGGGCAACCTACCATGCATTGGGCACTTCTTCCCCCATTGTGGCGGCTGCTTGTGTTTGGTTTCTACTCTTGAAGAGCGTGGTTCCGTCATGCCTGGATGGTGGCTTTCCCTGCACGCTCAGGCCCCTGATCCCATGCAGAATCACCCCCTAAGTAGAGATATTTTCTGGGTGTTTCCACATTCAGACGCAGCGGCGCTGAACTCTTACCCAAACACGGCCCAATCATTGTTCATCCGTGTGGCTGATCACTTCCAAAAATATTTTTCTCCCCCTGGAAACAGGGAATTATCTGAGATTTGTCCACTGAAAAGCCTGGGGATTTTCGCTGCATGCTCCTCAAAGGAGATTAGGTTCTTATGTAGTCTATTGGGGTGTGACTTGTTGAACTGCTAGTGGTAAGCAAATAAAGAAGCAAAGATGCAAGAAAACTTTGTATCCAGACAGTAAGGAAAATGCAGTTTTCAGACGTACTTTGATCTTGAAGATGAAGCTACTTAATGATCAAACTACATGTACTAGTATCACAAAGGTGGCAGCACTTGAAAAGACGCGAGCGACAAAGCGACACACATTTGCAACAAACAGGTTTTTACTTTAAAGAAGTTTAGACACTGCAGGAAAAAAAATTTATCCAAGGACCTTCATTGATGTGGGCAACAAAGCGGCACACATTTCAAGAAACGTGTTTTACTTTTAAGAAAGTTACACCGCAGGAAAAAATTATCCAAGAAGCTTCATTGACGTGGGTAAATCACAAGGACTGAAACCTAGTCGCTCGAAGCGGATTCTCCTGGGAAAGGTCCTTAGTGCGTCGCTCGGTGGCTTTGTAGTGGTGCGATCAGTCCATTTGTGTTGCCAAAGAGAAGAAGATGGGCAGAGCTGGAATGTTCCAGCCCTCGGCGCCTTTGTAGCCTCATGAACCTTCATGATGGTGCCATCTGTTTTTGCCGTGTGGCTCACAATTGCTCACATCACTATGATTACGCCTCGCTGAAATGGCGCCTAATTGGGTCCTTGGAGAGAAATTGGTCCTGGAAATTAATGTGCTTGGCATGCTTTCCGTGCAGGATTGTCATTTGCACCTGCCTGGATCGATTCGGATCGCAGCGGATGAATGTTATTTTGCGAGGGGGAAAATCAAGGCTATCCCATAATTAGGAAGTAAATCAATAACCCAAGCAGTCCAATACACTTTTACATAAAGGTACAGTCAATACCAGTCGATAGTGCCCCTGAGTGTCTGCTAAAGATTTTTCAATCGTGATAAACCAACGTCTTGCCAGATCCAATTGCCTTAGCCAATATCTAGTGATCCCTGCCCCACAAATAACACACTGAACACTTGCTTATGGTAATAATTCTCTCTCTTCAAAGCCTTAGCAAGGGGATTGAGGGCCCTCCAATGACATTTCCAATTCCTTTATGTGTTTTCCAGCGCCGGCACTGCGTACCCCCATGTCGACCATGGCCATGCCGTACTCGTCTCCCATGATGCACATGGCCCACGCGGACCTGACGAGCCCGTCGGCGTACTCCAACAGCCTCATGCACAACAGCATCTCGCCACAGTTCAACAACGCCTATGGACGCAACCCCATGGTACGCACTACACACGGATACACCGTCAGACATGTACAAGTCTATGAAGCCTCAAAATTGAGCTTGTCGTGGTTAAGAAAAAAACCCACAGAAAGTAGCTAAAATAGAACTTTAATGCACAACAATAGTTATTGTACAATATTGTACAACAAGTATTCAAGATACAGTAGTACAAAAAAAGAGGTATAGAATAAAACTTAACATCCTAATTACTAAAGCTTTTTTAACAGAAGTCTGATATACGGTCTATGAATAATGGCAGCAGGAGGAAGATTCATTGCTAACTATATTTTAGGCAGCATTTGTATGCAAAAAGTCTATATATTAGCTCAACCAATGTTCAATTTTGCAGATTACTTGTACGAAATATACATCTGTTTTGTAGACATGACTCGAACATAATAAGATAATGTGAAGTAAATTAAAGCAGAAAAGGATGACATATTTGACAAGGTTGCTTCTCTGTTATACTGACAGTTTTTTTTGGTGTCCACAGGTTGGGTTTGACCCGCACCCACACGCCCGTGCCCCGGCACTACTGCCCCCTAGCCTTGCCTCCATCCCTGGTGGAAAACCGTAAGTCTACGCTTTGTGCCTCCTGCCTTTCTTGGCAATTCTTTCTCTCACAAATCTGCACAGTTTCGTGTTCAATAGCAGTTTTTCTGTGCACTTCTCACTCACAAATCTGCAGTAGTGTTCAATAGCAGTTTTGTGTTCAAAAGCTGTTTTTATGTGCACTTGTCTCACACAGAAATCTGCAGTTTCATGTTCAATAGATGTTTTTCTGTGCACTTCTCTCACACGAAAATCTGCAGTTTCGTGTTCAACAGCTGTTGTTCTGTGTTCAATAGCTGTTTTTCTGTGCACTTCTCTCACATACAAATCTGCAGTTTCGTGTTCAATAGCAGTTTCGTGTTCAATAGCTGTTTTTATATGCACTTCTCTCACACAAAAATTTGCAGGCTCATTTTATAAAGTCAAATAAAGTAATTCATTCATTAAATAGCAGTTTCGTGTTTAATATATGTTTTTCTGTGCACTCCTCACTCACAAATCTGCAGTTTCGTGTTGTCAATAGCAGTTTGAATAATCTACTCGTGTTCGACAAAACAGGGCATATTCATTCCACGTGAGCGCTGACGGACAGATGCAGCCCGTCCCCTTCCCTCCCGACGCGCTGATCGGCCCCGGGATCCCCCGCCACGCGCGCCAGATCAACACCCTGAACCACGGTGAGGTGGTGTGCGCCGTCACGATCAGCAACCCGCCGCGACACATCTACACCGGCGGAAAGGTTAGCACAGGGGAGATAGCAAAGACCGAGACCAGTGCCTACTACCATGGCCATCCAAATGGCGAACACCCGAAATAAGGAGCTGAATTCATATTTTTCCACCATATTCTGCTGCTACAAAACAACCTCGAGAACAAAAAAAAGCAAGCAGGCATGGCTTGTCCAGAATTGAAGCATCTTCAACTATTTTATTGAACACAGCCATTTGTTATGCATTACGTGTCTATGGTAGAAGGCAACAATTATTGAGCAAAATAGTGTATAGTTCTATAAGATATCCTCCTAGTTGTATATTGTATTTATGTATATCTGTGTATATTTATATGTATGGGTATGTTTATTGAGGAGCGTAGAGGACATGACCTAAGTTGGTTGATAAACGCAGAGCGCCAGTTCTGTTTGGCCAAGGACTATCGATTTACCGCCGCCCGTGGCTGATAATGTAGAAGAAATGGGAAAACCCAGTATCTCTGCCCAAATCTGTGGTGCCTGTTCTCTTGTAATGAAGTCATTTAGTAGGCTGAATGGGACATCGGAAAGTAACCACACGACTTGTTGTTGATAAAATCGTAGCAATTCATCTGCGGTGCACAGTATTGATTATGTTGGCTGTCCAACTGTTGTGGATGCATAAGGCCGCCCCGACACGAGAAAGCATTTTGTAAAACTTTTCCATCCACGGAGACCCCCGCAGACTGTCTGATCATGGATGACGTCAAATTTTTGTGTATCTCAGACTCAATAATCGCTCCGCTAGACAGACTAGATGGCTGTAGATGTTGTATAGTTTAATTAAGACAAATTAAAGAAATAAACTCCATTGTGTTGTCTTGTCTCTTTACGTAGGTACATCAGTACTATGACATGTATCATTTTCACATCCTCTCCTAGTAGGGCCACACCAAGTTTTATGTTTCTTGGATTGAATGCCTTGCTGTGGCAACGTGTTACGGAAATTTGGCTCTCAGATCCGCTTAGAGCATTTTGCTAGCTAGATGCTGTGATTGAACAGTACATGTGAACAGTACAAGTGTGCTCTCGTTTTGAGAGGGTACAAGGAATCATCACGGCGCAGGGTGATTCGAAAGGAACAGTAGGAGCTCATGTCTTACTCTTTCACTAGTCAAAAACAAAAAAAAAAGGCCCAAACATTGGATTTCATTCTAACCTCCCCACATCCATTTCATCCAGTCTTCCCCAAATTTCCACACAGAAAGTCCAAGAAACCTGACACGTAATTGGTGTGGCCTTTCAGGCGTGGGACACTTTGACTTACTGGCCTTTCTGCCATGTCCTTCAGGGCTGTGTGAAAGTGTGGGACATAAGCCAACCTAGCAACAAGAACCCAGTTTCCCAACTGGACTGTCTCACGCGTGACAACTACATCCGCTCCTGCAAACTGCTTCCGGACGCCGGACCTTATTGGTCGGCGGGGAGGCCAGCACCCTGTCCATCTGGACCTGGCGTCGCCGACTCCTCGCATCAAGGCGGAGTTGACGTCCAGCGCGCCGGCGTGCTACGCCCTGGCGATCAGCCCCGACAGCAAGGTGTGCTTCAGCTGTTGCAGCGACGGGAACATCGCAGTCTGGGACCTGCACAACCAGACACTTGTCAGGTAAAACAGCTTTGACTTTAATTTCCCTTTCTGTGTATAGAATTAGAGAATAACTGTAACAGGCTTCTTTTCCATGTTATTTATTTTTTTTATAGTCTGATTCTATACCATATTGTAATTTATTTTCTGTTTATACATGTGCATATTTGTGTACAACATATAAACATGTAAAAAAAACAAAAAACTGACAATAGACTGTTAATCTAATGCATTTCCTTTTTAAAATGTTTGGCAAAGGGAGAAGAAACTGGAAAAGTCTAAGGACTTCAGCAGAGTGTGTCTTTGCATTGTACCATTGTGTTGCCTATTTCAGTTTTGTAACGTTCCTGTCTTGTATTCGCAGACAATTCCAGGGGCACACTGACGGTGCGAGCTGTATCGATATCTCACACGACGGCACCAAGTTGTGGACAGGTGGTCTGGACAACACCGTACGATCATGGGACCTCAGAGAGGTACGAAGCACGTCTATTACAGTGATCTTTAGGCACACCCGTGATTGTGTGTCCATATTTGGTAGCCATAGTTAGATCAGGTTTTCTGTCAGCGTACCTTTTTTTCTCCTTGTTCTTTTGTTACTTTTATGCCACATTTTGAAAACAGAAGACAAAAGGCAGGCATTTTTTTTCGGGTACAAAGCGCACCAATTAATTTGACAAGAGCACGTCAGTTTTGAAACCGCAGCCATGTACACCACCATTCTCTCGGGTAGAACAGGCCTGGTGTAGTAATCAGTATTCAGCTCTTGCTGCTCACAAGTCGTTACCTGAAAGAAAAATTGATGCAGCCGCACAACCTGTAGTCATTTTCCTAAACATCCTGCATTCATCAAATCGGAGGAAACAGGGACATGAAAAAGATTTCCCGGGGACAGGCTTTGGTGCGACCCGAAACGTTAAATTCAAAATCCAATTTGCATTAGCTGCGGGGGGATAAAAGACGTCTGTTACTGGTTTGCCATCCCCTACTCCCAATCCCAGGTATTGTACAAGCTTCAGCCCACCCAGACAGAGACATATGGGGGTGCATTAGTCAGTCGGACGCACTGAAGTCTGATTTAATCCTTGCGGATCCGTCATGCCTTCAGTTTCAATCAGAACGGGCATTAAAGCCACTGCATGCTGCCTTTCTATTGGGCATGTCATTTCATAATGATTTGGGAGAATCAATGATGTATAGTCGAGGCTTGATATTGGCCCACCAGTCACATTGCCAAGGGCTACGTCTAAAGATTGAGTATTGAGCTGCGTCTCGTTCGCGTCTTCGGTACTTGCCAGAAGGTGGGACGAGCATGGGAGCATTCTCCACGTATTTATTACTTTTTCCTGTCAAGATTTGAAGCCCTTGCCGGGCGCTCCCCATATCTCATGCTGCAAGCAAATCCTCTATAAAATCCACCCCTTTTTTTGGTTCAGCTTTATTGCCTGTAGCCATTCCGACATGGAGGGAAATCCTTGAGATACGCGCATTTGTTAAGCTTGAATGGTGTCTAGAGTTCCCGCTGTACTGTCACAAGAAGGAGTCTGCCGCAACTTGGAGTGGTCCATTAGCATTACTCTCCCATCAAGATTTGCTACGTCAGTTAGGCTCTCTATTAGCTGTCTCTTTGATGAAAAGCATAATTGCAAGAAGGATGAAAAAAATGAGTTGCTTTCGACAGAATTTTGTCCTTAAGTTGGGTTTTCTGAGCTCATTGTGGGCCATTAGCAATTGAAGATGTTTCAGCGTCACTTGGTTACATCAGTAACAAAATGAGAGAACCAAAATTAATCTATGTGTAGGCATTAGGATCTCTTTTTACACGACCGGTATAGACCCTCGCCTGCTTACGTTTTAGTGTCTGTCAGACACCTTACTCAGGTCAAAGCTTCTGACTGGAGTACTGCTTCTCGCTGACTGCTGGCCAATGTTTTGCGTCGAGAACACAATCCCAAACACGGCTAAGTTTGTATCCCCCCTCGCCCCGGTTCATCACTTGGTTTGATTTTATTCTTGATACGGTAGAGCAGGTGAGAGTGTATAGTATACCGGTGGTGTGAAAAGAAACCCTAATACCCTATGCTTCACCAACCAGATGAAACTATTTTCAGTCAATCAATTCTTCATCAGGCCATACGCCTGTATAGTAATCTTCCAGTAATACTGATCGAGGACATTCTTGTTACTTTGCACCCAATATTTAGGCATTTTGTATAGCGTTACTTGAGTTTTATTTTTGGATGTAAGTTGATGTCCTTCCACACACAAGTCTACAAATCAGTGCAGTTCAGCTTGTTGTACATGTACCTCATGCTGCGAGGCTGATTTTCCTAACCCTTGTCCTGCTGGCATTCCTGTCACAATATTTTTCAATAATTTCATGTCTTGATTAGATCATAGACCACCAATTTTTTTTGCTCTGCAGTGGCATAGTTACTTCCGCATTCGTTGCGTTTCACAGGGTACTATATAGATGGTACTGTATGTGCAGAGCAAGGGTTAATAAAATTGTAAACTATAAAATGTGACTGTTTCTTCCCACAGGGACGGCAGCTACAGCAACATGACTTCACCTCTCAGATCTTCTCGCTGGGCTACTGTCCCACTGGAGAGTGGCTGGCAGTCGGGTCAGTATACACACATCTTCACATCTCCATTCTAGTACCTAGAGCTGTGTACCTAAACAAATTTTAGGTACAGGTACAGGTACAGGTACACAGGTTTAGGTACAGGTCCGGACCTGAACCTGAACAATTCGACCAATTTATATGCTCTTCTGAACTCCTTCAATAACAAAAAAAAACATAAATAAACTTGATAGTTAAGGTTTATTCTTTGTTTATGGCGAATGCTCAGATAAAATATAGGCAAAACTAAGATGTTTTTGTTTTCATGAACACACTGTCCTTACACAGGCACCCATTGTTAACCAGCTATTTAAACATTTGAGGTCACAAATAGGCATAAAATTGGTGTGAAATTGTTTAGGTACAGTACCGGTACTGAGGGATTAGGTATTTTGGACCTGTACCTAATCAATTTTTCCGGTACAGTATCGGTACTGCGTACCGGTACACAGCTCTACTAGTACCTCTTCATGCTTAAGAACAAATGAGCCGTGAATCGTGCACCCAAAGTCTCTTTGGTAACAGAACGTGCTGAACTGAACTGTGTTATTAGTGGATTGAAAAGGGAGCAGCAGGATCTTCACTCCCTGCGGTGGCTAAAACTGTTTTACTGAAGACTTTTGGCAAACTTTCAAGTAAGCAAAAAAAAAGGAACAACATTCTGGAAAGAGACTGGGAAAATATAGCGAAACTAGAGTTCCCCGATCTCATACCTTCGCCAAATGATGTTAATCTTTATGACTGACAAATTATAGAATAGATTATTCCCCCCTGATTTAAGAAATAGGAACCTAATTTTCATGAATTATATCATTTTATCATTATCTCAACCAAAAGACAGTCTTACATTAACAAACAATACATTCTAGCATTGCCTAATAAATTATGCAAATGAGGTCCTGATTTGAATAAATTATGTTTAATGATGTTCACCTCAATTTAACTTTCAAATACCACAAGTATGAAATTCCAGGCAGTTATCATTACATAATTATAAAATTTTATCATTAATTATGCAAATTAAGTCATTATTAACATAATCAATATCTTCCTGTGTTTCTCTTGTTGTCAATTACCAATGTCACAAGCTTCAATTGTCCTATCGTGGAATGCAGATGATTTATAGAATTTCCCCATAAATTATGCAAATTACATCCATATTTGCATAATTCTCACGTAATTATATCAAGCATTACGTAAGCTACCTACATACCAAAAATCACGACCATCCGTCAACTGGTTCTTGAGTTATCCCCTTTTGAATATTTTCAAGAATATATCCCTGCAGTTCCAGAGCAAGCCGCTAGGGGGCCTAAACTC